AAGTTGGACACAAAATTTTGGAAAAAGATGGTTAATGTTCATTTTTTTGCCACAATAAGAGCTTGTTTCCCCCAAAATTGTTGAAGGGAAAAACCTTTAGCAAATGGATTGCTGATTTTGGGAGTTTTTCATATCTTTTTCATGGAGCAAACATAGCACTTACCAAACTTAACCTAACTTCTGCTTTAATGTCAGGCAATAAGTAACAGTGTTGCATCTTTTCATATTAGTCAGTAAAAAAGGTATGAGAGTGTAATTTATTGCAATAAATACAATAAACACAAGTTAATGCATCAGTGTGTGTAACACTCATGATGGTCTTTAATTACTTGTAAACAAACAAAAATCCACAAGAACAGTCATTTGTTGTAATTTTGTAATTAGTTGTGCAATAACATTTATACTTTGTCTATTCAGATGAAATAATTTGTTTTCAATGAAAAAAAATGACAGTGTAACAGAAAAGATTTTATTTAACTTTAAAGGATAAGAAAGCCTCATGGCAGGAAAACAATCTCAAAACCTTCAATAAGGAATGCGAAATGATTCCACAAGAAAAAAAAATATTGCACATAGAGAAAAGGCTTTTTAGATGACATCATTATTAAAGTAGGAGCAGAAATTTCTGTGATCAGCTGCGCAAATGGAGGGAATATTTGACCATAGCAGTCAGCAGAGCAGCCAACACCTTCCTTGGAAGCACCCAAAGAAATAAAATAAAGAAGCAATTAGTGTACAAAGGCTGTGATTCTAGGGAAAACAATGAAGGTGTAAAAATGACATCATTGGATGCAAACTTGGCATAAAAAGTAGGGTGGCACACTAAGCTGAAGAAATACATTTGTTAAACTAAAGGTAGATTTGGCCAACATTCCACTTCCCTAAAATCTTCATTGGCTGCACAGAAATTAAGTGAACAAAAAAGCCATTCTATAAGCGGTGGGTAACCCTTTAAGTAATGTGTCATAACAGATTGCACCTCTGTCACAAAAATTACAGAATTTAATGCAGAAATTACATTAATAAAAAATAATCGTATGTACAGATCCAGAAAAGAAAAAAAAAACAATCAGTTGTGTTTTCTCATTATTTGCTTTAATCAGTAAATACTTTGGAAGTAAACTCTGAGGTTTGTATTTGACATTATTTTGAAGCTTGCCACATATGCTTAATTAAGGGATGTCTCAAACCAATCCAAGTATCCAGTACGGCTCCCAGGGGTTCCAATCAGTCATCTCAGGTCTCAGGAGTCCCTTCAAAACTCAGCGTATCCAACATGTTGTTTGAAAGGCTGTGACGATCTGTACCTTTTTGTTATCCTTGATATCACCAATTAGCTTAAATAAAGAGACTTTTAGGGCAGCTTTCTTTGTTTATTATTTATCTAACCTTTATTTTATAAGTGAGTCTCTTGAGAAAAAAAAATCTCTTTTTTCGAGGGAGGCCTGTCCAAGAAGCACCTAAAATATCTCCTTACATGTCCCTTCAGACATGGGAGGAGCAGTGTTGTGTCATAGTGAGTTACACTGTGTGCAGAATTATTAGGCAAATGAGTATTTCAACCACATCATCCTTTTCATACATGTTGTCCTACTCCAAGCATTATAGGCTTAAAAGCCAACTACCAATTAAGTAAATCAGGTGGTGTGCATCTCTCTAATGAGAAGGGGTGTGGCCTAATGACATCAACACCCTATAAAAGGTGTGCTTAATTGTTAGGCAACTTCCTTTCCTTTGGCAAAATGGGTCAGAAAAGAGATTTGACAGACTCTAAAAAGTCTAAAATTGTCAGATGTCTTTCAGAGGTGTGCAGCAGTTTGGAAATTGCCAAGCTTTTGAAGCGGGATTATCGCACAATCAAGCAGTCCATGGCAAATAGCCAACAGGATCGCAAGAAGCTTGTTGAATAAAGATGACGCAAAATAACGCCCCATGAATTGAGAAGGATGAAGCGTGAAGCTTCCAGGAAGTCATTAGCCACCAGTTGGGCCATATTTCAGAGCTGCAACATGTCTGGAGCGCCGAGAAGCACAAGGTGCTCAATACTCAGGGACCTGCCAAGGTAAGGAAAGCCGAAAAAAGGCCACCTTTGAACAAGACGCACAAGAGTAAACATCAAGATTGGGCAAATAAATATCCGTAGACTGATTTCTCCAAGGTGTTTAGGTCTGATGAAATGAGAGTGAGTCTTAATGGGCCAGATGGATGGATGGGCACCAGGATGGATCAGTAAAGGGCAGCAAGTTCCTTATTGATTCAGACGCCAGCAAGGTGGAGGTGGGGTAATGGTATGGGCTGGTATCATCAAAGATGAGCTTGTGGGACCTTTTCTGGTTGATGAAGGAGTCGAGATCAACTCCAAGACCAACTGCCAGTTTCTGGAAGACACCTTCTTCAAACAGCGGAACAAGAAGAAGTCGCCATCATTCAAGAAAAACATGATATTCATGCAGGACAATGCTCTGTCACACGCCTTAAAAATACACCACAGCGTGGCTGGCTAGGAAAAGTCTAGAAGGAGAAAAAAATAATAACATGGCCCCCTTGATCACCTGATCTGAACCCCATGGAGAACCTGTGGTCCTTCATGAAATGTGAGATCTACAGGGAGGGAAAAGTCCACCTCTCTGAACAGTGTCTGGGAGGCTGTGGTGGCCGCTGCACGCAATGTGGATCGCAAACAGATCAAGACACTGACAGAATCTATGGATGGAAGGCTGTTGAGCGTCATGGTGTTTTTTGTTTTTGATTGTCGCAAATGTTTATTTTTGAAATTTAAGTTGTTATATTGGTTTACCTGTTGAAAATAAAAGTGAGATGGGTATATATTTATTTTTTTATTACATTGCCTAATTATTCTGTAGAGCAATATTTACCTGCACACAGAGACATCCTCTATTAAAAACATAGCAACTTCCACAAATATGAAACTTTGATATTATAGAAGTCTTTTGAGTTGATTGAGAACACAATTTTGGCCCAATAATAAAAATAATCCTTAAAAAATGCAACTTGCCTAATAATTCTGCACACAGTGTATTTCTAACACCAGAAGACTCTGATAATTGAATCATTTAGAGGTGTTTATGGTCTAGAACCAGAACTTCTGGAAACTGGAGTATAGCTTCTTTCTGGTAACTAGTCCATGCCCATCGGCAACAGGTCCGACTTTCTGAAGAAGAATTTCACGAGCAGTTTTTGTGACTTTGAAACAAGAAAATGTTTGGATTGCTATTAGTCTGGAGACGGGATGACTATTAGTGTCTTTTGATTTTTTTATACCACTGTTAGCAAATGACATTAGGGAAAAGTCTTGAACAGGAAAAGGTGACAGGAAACAGGAACATATCTTTACATTTTACACTCCTGCTCATCAACAGCTGGAAAATACTCCTCTGTAAATCTACATTGTTCAAAGATGGAACAGTTGTTAGGAAATCTGACCCGTTTCATTTGCTAGTGTTGGTTTATGGAGTGTTTAAATAAATTAGTGAGGGTGCAGACAGTAAGAGCCGGCTCTGTCAGGTTAGGATATGACAGCAGAAAATTCTACTGGCAGATTTTGAATGATTCATCTGTATTTTGTCCTGGATATGATAATAGCCACAAGATGCTGAAGGATATAACTGTATGCTAGTATCCACTTATACCTTCAGTTTTCTCATGTACCAAATTGCCACTTTGTTGTATCTAATGAGTTAAAGAGGAAAGAGATGGTTAAGAGGGTCCAGCTCCTACCTCCTACTGATTTAACAGTCTTTGTCCTACTTAATATGAACAACTGATAGTTCATTGATCTTATATGTTGCTTCCAGTTGGTCACTTGCCCAATAATTTTGTATTACAAAATAACAAAAGGTAATTTTTCCCCCATTGATTTCAGGCTGAGCGCTTAAGAAGCAATTTCATTTTTTCTTTTGTTATTCAATAGTCCAAGATTGATAATACAGTTAAAAATATTGTCAATTTTTCCAGCAATTTAAACTGAGTAGAATTAAAACTCTTGAAGATTTCTGTCACTCTCTTTCTGGTGTTTGTGGACCGGATGTAAAGCCTGGTGTTTGTAGGCAGTTTAACTCGCTGAGGCAGTGCGTCTGGTTTTGGATTCCTTAGGGACTTATTTCTGCTTTTACAGATGATGTGATTCTCTTCGCATTTTCATAACCCAAAGCATGAACTTGATGGGTTTGCAAATTAGTGTGAAATAGCCTGGATGCAGAGCTCTTGATTTACCAGCAAACCATGTCTTGATGCTCATCAATAGGCCCTGACTTAGAATATAAAATCCTAAACATGACCCACTGAAAAGGCTTCTTCCATTAAATAGGCTCAGCCTCAGAAAGTGGAACGACTTTGGGAGACTTCTGAGTATAACTGCCTCTGATGAAAAGGAGTTTGCTGAGGTGATTCTACTAGGAGGATCCCACCACAGAACTTGATGGAGAAGGTTTACATCCCCTCTGGCCTGGGAACAGCTGGGGATGTCTCACAATTGGACTGAAAGTGTTGCTAGGGAGAAAAATGGGTAGATTTCCCTTTTGGATCTTCTAAATCATGGCCTGATCTCAAACAAGACAAACATGAAGGATTGATAGATTAATTATATTATTATATTTTTTTAAACTTGAAGCTGTAGATTACCTATTGCTAGATTACACTGGAAAAACAATCTCAAAATAAGTAAAAGATGTCATAAATTAGGTGTATTTACCCCTAATTTGAGTAGGTAAATGAGATAATTTGCCAATAGAATGAGTATTTTTACTCTTAAAATAAGATATTAGATAATATGCACTTGAAATAAGACAATGCAATTGTGTTTTCTTATTTTAAATGTAAATTGTCTTGTTCCATTGGCAAAATGTCTCTTTTACGTCCTCAATCCAAGAACAAACACACTTATTTTAAGAAAAAATAACTTTTTTTTTTTTTTTCCAGTGTAGGGCATTTCTAGATAGAAAGATAAAAAAATAATAATATTTGAAGATCATGACCTAAAATTGGTGATATAAACCAAACCAAGATATTTAATACCCTAAAATCTGGATTTTAAAAATCAATATTTTATGTGTACAATTGGACAGATTTCCAAAAATAGTAGTAAAAAAAATACTAAACTATTGAATGTTTTGCTATCAAACTTCTTGAAGATTACTTTTCCTTTGCTTGTTGGTTCTGCTGGTAAACCTTATAAATACACTACGAAAACAAAAAACAGAGACAACATGAGAAGCATCGATGTTAATTTAAGAGCTTATGGTATTCTATACAATAAGGCATTGCTTTAATGAAAAACACTGGAAAAACATTTCACAGTTTAATAATTTTTTGATTGACAAGTGACATCTCGTCAATCAAGCATGACGTTTTTATACTGATTGTTTCTGTCAAACTTAACACTAGACAAATATGTTGCCTTCATAATCCACAACACTGAGGGCTCGATTCGTAGAGATGAAAGCAACTGGCCAATTGATAACAGAGCAAATAATTAAAATCCAGCAAAAATCAAACAGTAATTTCATACAGACTCATTCTATGCCACAAGCACGGTTTGAAGAGAAACAAAAACATACTCCCATATTAGATCCACATAATTATCAGACATCGGTGGAAATAATACTAATCTGGGAAATTTTCCTTATCTAAAATCAAAATTAATAACTGGAAACGCCCAATCCATTCCACTTGGGAAAAAAGTCCAGAGGGCCAACTTTTATTGTATTATGAAGCTGAACAGCCTATATACAACCACCTATAGTATGCAACAGAAAATAGCCTGTCTTTACTTATAGTCTAAGCTGATATGTTCCAGACGTTTATCAAAGAAGGAGAGAAAAACTTAATCCAAAAAAATGGGAATTCATCATTGTGCTTTTTAACCCACAAATCCCCTTCATTGTTGAAATGGGACAATTTCAAGAGGCACCAACTGAAGTGCTTATATCAGTTAATGAGAATCTCTAAAGCTATAACAAAGACTGAAAATACAAATAGTAAATATAGTTTATTTATATGTTTAGAAAGGTGATACAATTCCCTTCAAGTCCTTTGTTCAGTTTAAAAAATATTTCTTCACTCTGTCATGCGGCCGACAAGAAGGATCTTTGTGTCAATGCGCAAAGCCCTTATGATGCTCTCAGAGAAACACTGTCTTGCCAGGGTATTTCCAAGTCATCCAAACTCTGGGTCACACACAAAGCTCGTGCTAAAAAGCAATAGGAAGAGTTTTAATGAAATGGATGCCGATTTTGTCCATTTATATTTATGATGCAAATCAAGAATTGCCCGACACTGTCGTTAAACAGTTACCTCATTCTTACTGGCAGTGCGATATGTGTGGTGGTGCCCAGGAATGTACTGTAGGTGGTCCACCGTGTGTGTTCGTCGGGACGCAAACGCCTGCCTCTTTGATGTGGACGTGCCAGAGTGATGATTGACCATCAGCGTGTTATACGAGTCAGTGGAGGCACTGGGTTGAGAGTGCATCTTGGTCATCTTGTGGCGGTCCATGACCGGTGTGGTAGGCATTAGCATGTCAGCGTGAGACATTGCCCGTGCCATGGCCTTCTCCCGGAACTTGTCACGCCTCATCGCCGGGGACAGCAATGGATCCTGGGAGTGTAGGCGGTCTGCAGAAAGCAGTTGTTCGTTTGAGAGATTACGGCTGCTTCCATATGCCGTAGCTGCCATGCCGCTGTATGATGATAAACCATAATCTCCCCGCCGTGGCGTTCGGGGAGGAGACAGGACGTGGTCCTGTGACATGGCCCGCTGGACCCGTCGAGGTCGTTGGCGCTGCTGGTGTTGCTGATGCTGGTGAGGTTCAGCATTCAACTTCACCATGTGGGTTGGTCCCCGGCCACCAAAGTCAGGATGAAGATGTTTCCTTGGGTAGTAATCATCCATGTCTTTATCGCCTGTGGTGTAGAAGGAAAAGGTTGTCAGAGGAAAAATTTCAGACTTGGTTTTTCAGAATGAAATATAATTATAAACCTTTTTCCTATGTAGGTCTGGAAAACTGAAAGTTTTCCTGTTGTGGAACATTCAAAATAAAGCAAAAGGAGCTTGTGACTTTCACTAATACTACCCAGTATTTATAACTTCACTCCACTACATTTTAAAGTAAAATATTGTACTTTCTACTCTGCTACATTTCTAGGAAGCTATTAGTTACTTGTTCCTTTTAGCTCAGCTTAGCATTTGAATCCATTGTTGCTGTTTTTCTCTCTTGAAATACAATTTGAACATGGCAAATTGCAACCCTAGGACTGAATTTGGACACCAACATTTTAGAGATTTGCATGAAATTCCATAAATGTAAAAAACTCAGGACATATATTATTTGCTAATTATGCATTTTATTAAAGCCGTGTGGCCAAGTTGTTCAGTAGAATAAGTTCTCAAATCAGAGATGCGGTTTCTATGTTTTAATAGATTCAACCTTAAACCTCTATTCCATAGTAAAAGCGTGAGGAGAATCAAGACTCTCATGTTTTGTTTTTGGTTTGTTTTCTAGTAAGGAATAATAATCTAAATATCCGTCCTTATTATTCTGTCCCATTTTTATTCTGTAGCTCATTACAGGTGGTGGAGAATCTGTAGCAGGTGGTTGTAGTGGGGTTGTTGGCCTAGTGGTCAGAGCACTGCCCTTGTGCTCTAAGAAGGTTGCAAGTACGGTTTAATCCCAACAGCCTCCACTCTGGGTCCCTGAGCAAGACCCTTAACCCCACACTGCTCCCCGGGTGCCACACAATGGCAGCCCACTGCTCCCCAAGGGGATGGGTTAAATGCAGAAGTAAATTTCTCCAGCATGAGATCAATAATGTTCAATTAAATAAAATTATTCTGATTACGCATCAATGCATCAGATGGTTTCTTAAAGTTACAAGGTTTTTTTTTTTAAAAATTACTCTTAAAATTATACAGAAATGTACTGATGTTGCAAAATGTAATTTGTATTTTTGAATACTTAAGTACTTTTAAATGCATGTACTTTTGAATACTTAATTATTTTCAAAAGTAAGTACTTCAAAACTTTATCTTAAAGAATTATGAAAGAGTAATTTCTACTTGTAATTGAGTAAGATTTGAATATGAGTATCAATACTTCTATTCAAGTACTACTGTTTGTTACTTCATCCATCACTGTTATTATTAAATTATATAGCTTTAGCTATGCTAAGCTCTAGATTTACACATTTTTTAAATTTTTATAAAACTTATAGATCCTTCTGCTATGAAATGGATAAACAGAAATGATAAAACTGTAAATGTCTGAACTCCCGACCTATATTAGCAAGTTAAAATAGAAATCCTGTCATATTTTAAGAATGTTGGGTTACATTTAAATTGGTGTCTGCATTTTTAACAGTATTATGTTAACAAACAGGGCCTCCAAAAGCTTGGTAGAAACAGATGATAATACATGATTTAAAAGATAAATTATTTAAAAGAAAACAAATTTTCTATTTTTTTAATTTGTTTTTTTATGTTTGAATCTTTGTTTTTGTTTTGTCACAGATGTCAGGCTTGGATGAAATAGGTCACCTCAACTGCACCTCGTGTGCATTTCCAATGAAGGCAACCCAACTCTGACCTGTGGCGATGCACACTGTTCCCTCTGGGCTGCTTCAGATGGGATATTTTGGCTGAAAATGCCAACCAAACTCAACCAGAGGCAAAAATTAGATGGAGATTTGGCCCATAGCTGCAATAATAGGTCAGTAGGGTGTATTCATTTAATAAGTATTTTAATACTGCTGTAATTACAGGAGGAAGAAAAATATCAATTGTCTATTTTATCATGACATAGTTTAATAAAATCCAAACCAACAGTATCTAGAAACTTATCAGATTTAGATATGTATAATCTTACTTGCTTGTTCTGACGGGCAATATTGGTGTTCTGCTATATTATATTGTAATAAATATTCTAGTAAATTGTAATAAAAATCAGTCATATATAATTATATCTAACCATTATTAATATATTATATGAAATATCAAAATATCCATTAGATTCTAATAATAATAATAAAAAAATGTTGGTTTCCTGATACTAATTTGAGATTTCAAATGAGAATCTGTAGGAAGATGCTAAAGATTAGGATTACGACAAGGAGTAGCCTGATAAACCAGACTAAATGTGAGATTAAATGTGTAATCTAGTCCTGCCCCGATGAATGAGACATCGTAAAGTTGTTGATGAGAACAACCCGTTGTTTTTCAAACCATGTCTGTGCCTATTGGCCAACGCTCTGACCAATGAGCCCAACTGACTGTGACGTAGGAAGTGCGATAGAAAGCTGGTGGGGGGGTGTAAACAAACAGCCTGTCGGTGAAACGCGAATACGGCCATCTTAAAAATTAATGAGCATAGAGCCTCTTCCTGCTCACGTTTTGCTCAGCTTTGTCGTTACGCCCCCAAAACCCCGCTCGCTTGGCATTCAGAAATTCAAAACACATCTCTGCGTTGTGATTGGCCCGCCAGTTCTAGGGCCTGGGGCATTGATCGAGGGTAGACCACTCGCAGGCAACAATGATTTTGGCCGCTGGTGGGTGGGGCTAGTTTACTAGGCTAGACAAGGAGACATTTTTACCTCAAAAACATTGAGCAGCATACAAATAATGGTCAAAGATAGCACTGGAAAAGTTCTTTAAACCAGCCAGTTCTCTAAGATACTTTTGTCAGCTGTAAAGACCTTCATCACTGATCACTGCAAACAATGTATATCAGTGTATATAAAAAAAAAACCTCCTGTTTTTTAAGGCAGGGATGTTAATTTCAAGTTCTCGAGGGCCGGCATTCTCCAACTTTAAGATATGTCCCTGATCCAATCAAATTGTTGAATAACCTCCTCGGCACACAGCCAAGCTCTGTTTGACCTAATTATCTGATTCAGGTGGAGAGATACATCCAAAACTTGCAGGACTGGAGTTTGACACCTGTGTCCTAATGGAGTCTGTCTGTAATGTCTCTTCAGAAACAAACTTTTTGTTAATTAGGATCAGAAAGGGTTTACTGTTATGAGTTTAGTATCTGGTAGCCCATCAAGGGCATTTTTTTCAGTGTTTTTATTGTCATTATACTGTCACATGTACAAAACAATGAAATTAACTTTCTGAATTTAGCTCATTCCCTTGGAATTGTCCATGGTTAAGGGTCTTGCTCAGGGCAAAGAGTGGCAGCCTGTGGGTGAGCTAACCACTAACCAATAGGCTGCCACTCCCCAAACAGGCATTAGCATGAAGGGTCTTGTCTAAGGACCTGCACTAGCAGCTCATTCCCTCCAGCTGGGATACAAACCCAGGCTTCATGTTTGCAGGACAGGTGACTTACCACTTGAGCTAACCAGCCTCAAATAATTAAACTATTAATCTCATATTGGAGAAACTTACCTCTGCATTTAACCCATCCCCTAAGGAAGCAACCAACACAGTCACTAAGGTGTAATGCAGCCTGGCGAGCCTGTTAGCTGCGCATAGTGACTCTTTCATATATTTGGGACACCCTCTTTTTGAAAAATTTTCTAAAATTAAAACCAATAACTGTTGCCTGTAAAACATACATACTTTGATGATCCTGGTTTCTATTGAACTAGTATAACAGGGTTCCTCAACTCTGGTCCTCAAGCTCCAGTGTCCCCCACCTTTTAGATTTTCTCTGCTTCAACACAACTGAGTCAAATAATCAGGTCATTAGCAGGACCCTGGAGAACTTGACTGCATGCTGATGAGGTATTTCAGCCATTTGATTCCGGCGTAAAAGCTTTAGACCACTGTTTCTCCTGCTGCTGCCTGTTTTGTTTTGTTCTCTTCAGCCCCCCAACCCCATCGACCTCCTATGAGGTCAGATATCCTCCCCTCCCTTCCTGACACACAGGTCACTAATTTTACAGAGTAAAGATGCACTCATCATTCCATACAGTAACAATTAGCTTTTTCATGCAGTGATAAGATCGAAGTCTAAAGCGTCTTGTATGCTGGCTGTGTTTCAACATTTAGACCGAAGTCGTCTGTCTAAACTACCTTTGATTGAAATCCTAATTTTAATGGGTAAACAAATGCAATGCAGCAAAACACTTAACATGGCTAAGGTAATTACAGAATGTTACTGCTCATATCTCATCCCAACAATCATGTTAAAAAACAGCAACACATTTTCCTACTAGGCTTAAAAACTGGAATCCGAGCTGCAAACACTTAATTGCCAAAAATATCTAATCAAACCACAGCCCTCACTACTTACATTCATGAGCTGTTTATCACTGAACACCGTAATCATGTAATGCACTAATACTAATGAAAGCGATGGAACACGTATTATGAAGTGATCTTTAAAGGTTTGGAGCAGCAGATTTGGAATTTCAATGTGCTTATGAGTGGAGGGGGTGCAGCAGCAGTACAATTTAACTTTTTTTATATACTTTGGAGGATTAAAAATGCCTTCTGTATCCTGCTTGGTGTTTTAATCCCTTTTAGTGTGATTAAGGTGACATCAGAGCTCTAAGGCAGCGTTTTTTGCTCCATCTCTGCCTCGTTAGCAGTGAAGGACGAAAAGGAGGACAAGTTTCCCTCTGCTCTCTCTCTCCCTCTCCTACACGCAGCCATTTCTATCTGCTAATTCACGCATTGCAAATAAACCATATTAATTTAATTTGTGGAGAATTGTCTGTCCAGATTGTTTTAATAAACAATCAACTACCATATTTTCTGTGCTACAAGCAGCTAAAACCCCCAAGTTTTGAACCTTACAGCTTATATAAAGCTGCATTTGGCGAAAATCAAAGTTAGAAGGAGTTCAAATCAATTAAAAAGAAGCACATAGTAGCAGCAGACATGATAGGGAACAAATGTCCTGATTTCACATATTTTGATATTTATTTGCCTAATTAAAGTTGTCTTTATTTCAGAGCTG